AAATGGGCAAGGTCATCCCTAACTTAGACCCCACTCTCCTCACATCGCATGATCTCATCGGATGTTTCTTTGCTTCTGGGCGCCTCTGGCCCCTCGACTCCAGAGCTCCGGCCCCTCAGAGGCCCTCAGAGTTCAGTGCTGTTGCCTGTGCAGACGTGCCTCCACCTCCCGATCCCTACGAGTCCAGCGTCCTGGCCTAAGTACATGCTGTGCAGTCTGAATAGGACAGGAAGGAGGGCCTGCCGTCATTTTTTCGTCCATGGGACGCTTCGCCCTCCTTTCAATCAAACTGAATTGAATGCCCCAAAACTTTCCAAGCAGGGCCTTAGCAGCCTAGCAATTCAAGCAGATATAAAATGAGTTCATGTCGATGCTATCATACGACTGCTGGGAGCCACACCCCAAAGCCACGAGAGCAGTGCAGAGAGTGTGTCTGTGTGTGCTATGCCCAAGGCACAGATCCGCGGCGCCGGGACCCAAGACATGTGGAGTCAAGCCTCCGCCTTGCCGTTCTGTGGCTTCGTGATGCTGCTGGTCCTTGTTCTAGTTTGTCCTGGTGCTGTCACGACACGACTTCTGTCTTGCTGAGCTACTATGTGTTTTCCTTGTGGTGTCGCCGTTGTGAGTAGTCACAGCGCTGCTTCCCTCTCGCACTTGGGTTTTGAGCTGTGTTCAGCGGGCGGTAGCGACTACTATAGGGGCCTCAATAATTAGAATATGGTTTTGGATATTCATACTGTCTAACTAGAATAATGGCCACCAAAACCCTATTCTAATTATTAAGGCCCCTACATTACATTGCGAATTTTCCCTTTGCCATGAGCCAAGGCACTCAACCCCGAACCCTGAACCCTTAAGCCTCCCCACTTTTAAGGACCTAAGTAATTGCCTACACTGGCTTGGGGGTTACTGATTATATGTTTATAGTAGAATCTACCGCAAAACCCTATTTTAGTCATTCAGGCCCCTACTTTAAACCCTCAACCCTCGGCCTCAACCCACCCCCTCAAAAAAAAGAAAAAGAAAAAACAACAAGCAAAAAAACACTCAGCTGGCCAGACATCCCAAGGACCCGAAGCCCAATGGAGTTGCACGCCTGGAAAAACACAAGTCTGAACATCAAAGTATTCATATAGGTCCTAATGATAGTAGATAATAAAACTAAGAATCATAAGAAGAAGGCTCACAACAATAATAATCCAAATGCAAATATTAAAGCTGACAATAATCACCTGTAATAAGCACTCAAACCCACGAGTTTCCGAAGACTCTCCGAGAGCCAGGCTGCCTCCGATGGTACCCGGGCCCAGCTTTTCTTAGGGCTTCCAGGGTTTAGGGTTTAGGGTCCCTAAACCATAAATCCGAAACCCTAAACCCTAAACCACTGGATAGAGGCTTCATTGAGGGGTTCCGCGGAGGGGTTGAGGTGTAGGGGTTCAGGGGGCAAGTCGATGGAACTGGTGGTATGCTCAAAGGGCTGCAAGGGTGGGGGAAGGTAGGTGGGGTAATCCAAAAATAAGAGTCCTTACATAAGGGATCCTAAATCCTACCTACCTTCCTCCCACCTTTTGAGGCCTCCAACATGCTTGTGACCTAGGATTCGGGATTTGAGGGTTTCAGCCATGGTTTGCAGCCGCGAGCCTCCTCAGTGTTCAGGGTGTGGCTTTCAGGATTTGCCTGGTGACCTCTGGGCTTTCGTAGATTTCATGTCAGGGCTTCCTAAACCTGAAAATGGGGGCTTGAATGATTATCATTAGTAATACCATTGCCCACGGTTCCGATGATAATCTTTCGATACCAATACGGTTTAGGGTTTAGGACCCTAAACCCTAAACCCCAAACTCTGAAAGTCTAATTGCTTGTCGGATGCGCGTTTTGCTCTGCATGCCGAGGTCGCCGGCAGCGTCGCCGTATGTTGGAGAAGCTTGCGTCCAGCGTACTCACCATCCAGGACAACAGGCTTGGGATGAATGTACGCAGAGGCCCCATAGTGGTTCCTTTTCGGGACTACCTAATAGGGTTATAAATACAAACCACAAAATGGAACTACGTTAGGGCCTATAGGTAGGGGCCTGAAAAATTAGAATAGGGTTTTGGCCTCCTTTATATACTAGGGTTATAATAAGGAACCATAAGGAATAATATTGATAATTGTTTAGGCTTCTGCAATAGGGGGGGGTCAAATTTTACCCGCAACCAGAGCCCGTGAGTCTCTGCTGTAGGAGCATCTTCGGCGAGGTTTCAGTGTGTTCTACTTGATATCGACCTTTTGCTTTCGAGGAAAGGGGGGGGCAGGGCAGCCGCAAGAATCACATGGCCAAGTTCCGGGATGGCCTATCAAGCTTTGCAGTGCCTTGTGACTGTGATGGCAGAATTATATTATATTTTGTCCAAGCCCGCAACAGGCACTTTGGGATCAGCCCTGTGTTTTCGGAACCCGAGCTGCTCCTGCATGCAGGAACACTCCGGAAACAGCTTCGAAGCTTCAGCCCCACCCTCCCATCTTCTGGTGCTCGCTACAGCCATTATAGCACCATGATCATCATCCTTAACGGTTAGTAGCGAAGCTTTTCTTCGTTCCATCTTCGATGTTAAAGCTTCAGGGGTTTAGGCTTCTCAAGTCCTGATATCTGGGGGTTTCCGAAAATAGGGGACCCTAATATAGTACCCTAAATAGTAGGATCCTTATTATAAGGACCCCAAAATAAGGTACCCATTATTTCGGAAACTCCCACATGGGCCTTGTCTACAACACGGCAGTGTCCAGTCTCCAAACTGTCCCAGCCCGGTCCAGGCAGATGAAATCCCGGCCAAATCAGGTGAAACACCGCAGCGAGGTGCCGGACGGTCAACTTAGGACTCTCGGTATTCTACATGACAACAGGATTACTACATCGATGATATAGCCATATGGAGATGAACGATTTACGGATCATAGTTCGATGACTCTTGTTCTGATACGCTCTGATTGTCCGTGTATGAATATGGTTGCTATTCTAATGGCGAGTATGATGTAGGTAGTGGCGCAGATGGCTGGTTCTCTGCGTTTCTTCTTTGTGCAGATAGCGGCAAGACGATGACATATTGAGTACAGTTATTGAAGCTGAACAGCAAACTTCCGGCTTCCTTTGCAGTTTTGACATCGTCGATACGATTATGGTTTGCTTCTTGTCCTCGTTTCTCCGATCGTCAAACGTATTGCAAGAAACACCGCATTGTTGCTGCTGAAGCCATACCTGAAGCTGCCGCTGTGTCTCGGAATTCTATTCGATCCAGTTCGACCCAAATCATCAATGAAACTCTGAAGCAACATCTTACAAGACCCATCCCATGTAAGCCTTCGTTTTTTGACCAATAGCTTCTCAGCCTCAAGACGAATACAAACGAACAAGTGTCCCTTCGGGCCTTCTGTAGATATCCCTGAACCCTGAATCGTGTGCCCTACAGCTTTCGGCCCTGAATCCCAAACACGGCAAGCAAATACAGGTTCTGGAGATAGCCTAAGCCTAACCCCAGTACGTTCAGAACAGCTCCAAGGCCATCTCATGACCCAACACCTAAACTTCTCTCTAGATCCCGAGACTCCTTGCCTAGACCGTACGGCCCTAGCATATAGAGGGTTTTGGGATCATGGTCCCTGAAGGCCTGCATGGACTGCAATCCACAGCACGACCTATACAAGGTGCTTGTCTTTTAGGGCCAGGGTTTAGGCCTTGGGCTGTTGGTTCAGGATTCAGGCTTTCGTCTTGCTGCCGCGTTGTCTTGACGTGTTTCTGGCTTTGGCCAAAAAGTCTGGCAGTTATACATGTCTTGTGACTCTGTTCGTGCCTTTTCCTCCTAGCACCTTCAGTGAGTGGGGATCTTCTTCTAGGTAGGCCTTGGGGGCATTTTATATTTTTCCCTTATTGGGCTTCAGAGGATCTTACTTGCGAAGAGGCTTTGAGGGGCCAACCTAGTTTTGTAGTGGCCTGAGGTCGGAGTGCTGACGTCGGACTGGAATCGGGAAGTGCCCCTCGCCTTGGCTTAGGCTTGGGGCCTTCATAGTTAGAATAGGGCTTGGGGTATCTTACACTAGAACTATAATGAGGAGCCCCGAAAACCTTATTCTAATCATTAAGGCCCTTACATTAGGCTTGGGGAGGTCCGGCTTTCCCTATGCAGGGCTCGAACCGCTTGTGGAATCCTGGGTCTTGGGGTTCCGAGGGGTCGGCATGTTGGGGGTTTCCCGGGGGCTTGAAGGTTTCAGGAGTTTTCTGTGTTTTGTTGGAGTTGGGAAAGGCACCGTTCATAGTTTTCCTTTTTGCCTCGCAGGAGTGGTCCAGTGGTCTTGTAAGGATGCAGATGATCAGGTATCCGGACTAGCTCTTATGCTGAGCCCAAAAGTAAGGGCGTCTGCATTCGCCTTATCGACGGAACGCTCCAAACAAACTCGTTGTCGGTTGAACCAGCAATCTCAAGCTCACACTCCTCTACGTAACGAAACATGTGCCCCTTGAAGTAAATCCCCAGCATTGGAACATCATGGAACACCCTAAATCCAAACACACACGCTCTCAACACCCGAAAGGACTATGGGCGTCCCAACAACTACATCATATTTTCGGGTCCCTTGCTATATCTACATTTTTATATATCCGGCAACCCTATTCTAAATCTTGAGGAACCTACATACATACAACCCTCATAGCAACCCTTATAGAACCCCTTATTGAGCCCTTAAGGGAACCTTATTCTCAGCATGCTTACGGCCCTAAACCCTAAGCTCTAGACCCTGTCCCAACTCCAATGCGAAGATCCGAGGTCCATTCCGGTTTGGGTGGAGCGGACGGGCCAAGCCCAGGCCACACAGCGGCTGAAGGCTCCCCAGCAATAACAGTAAAGATGATGATGATGATGATGATGATGATGATAGCTACAGTAACAAGAAGAGTAATCAGAACAAGGACAACAATGATTATGCTAGTCAAAGTCGTCGTAGACTAATTTGATTGACTTTCTGATGGTTACCATCACTTGTTCAGGGCTTGGGGGTCAGATTTTCCATGATTCGCATCACTTGCTACTTGCAGAACCGCTGCTTTGCTGAGCATGGCGATTGAAGTTATGATTGCTCTTGGTGTCAGACTTGCTTGTCTCATTCCCTGCATTTTCCGCGGTCACAGCTCATGGTGGCTGCTGCTGGTAGCTCTTTTTCTGCAGGGCGGGGTCTGTTCTCGGCTGAAATGGTTAGAGTGCAAGACTTGGTTTGATGGACAGCCTTCATCATCGCTCTTCGGATTTATAGATATCAAGGCTTAGATAGGGCTTAGCAGAACTAGGGACGTCAATTCAGTGTCATGGACCCTAATTGAATTTAGTGTGATCCTTGACCACCTGGAGCGGCCCAAAGCCGTAGACGCCCTCAGATCAAAGACATCCGAGGGCCATGGTAGAGGGGGCGCGCTGCCCTCTCGGGAGTAAAGTCGGGATTATCCCCGCTAGGCTGTTCTACACCAACAGTTCTCAGCACCGCACCCGAGTCCTCATGAGACTGCAAGAATAGAAGGGCTCCTATCTTCCCGCTAAACCGCTAAACATAGCCTAATGATCAAGAGGAGGCAGAGAAATGGGTCGTGCCCTGCCACGTTGAGCAAGCTTGGCACTCTTCTTCTCCTTTGCGCTGCCGGCTTCTCCCTATTGCGAGCGCACAGTTCTCCGGCAAATTGTGTTGCGACGCCGCAGGTATTCAGGGAGCACGGGGTGCTGTATGCAGCTCCTTATGACCATGAGGTTCGTGTAAAGATCGGTTCCATCACTGGACAGCGGATTGGGGATGCCATACGCGCTGCACAAGAAGCCGTCGCACTTGATGAGAACGCTGAATTACCTGGCATGTTCAATTTCATTTCACCGAGTTGGTGGCTGCGGCAACTCAACTGCGGGGGTATCCAGGTGGAACGATGTGCATGGCAGCATCTTGAGTTCGAGCGAGTGGATGCAGACTATGTCGTGAAGGAAGGTGACCGAGCCCGACTCATGATACATGTTCACGAGCGCGCAGCGCCCGACGCTGAAATTCCGATAGTCTACGAGGATCGCGATTTCCTAGCCGTCTCCAAGCCCGCCTCAGTGGATCTTACGAAAAACCCAGGTTATGGCAGCGTGCGACTGTCTGTCCTCGGAATGCTGGAAGATATGGGATATACCAACATCTATCCAGCTCATCGGATCGACAAGCCTGTATCAGGAGTCCTTTGTCTCGGCAAGAACAAGAAAGCTTTGTCCCGGCTCATGCGCTGCATACGCAACCGTAAGGTGCAGAAGACGTACCTGGCACGTACCTTGGGTGGCCCAGAGGAGGGTGGCTTCAGAATACAGGCGCCCTTGGATGTCGTCCTGGATGCTAGGCATTTCAGAGTGCTTCTGTCAAGACTTTTCGCTCGACTAGTTTAGAACCCTGACTGGCATCTCCAGAGTTTACCGGCAATGAGTAAAGGACAACTCCACCAGCAAGAACGTGGCGGTGGCCTCTGCATCGGGCAAGAGAGCGGAGAGCATCATCGAAGATGTCTTCACCCGCCATGGAGACAGCACGGCAACCCTTGGGGTACGCATCCTCACGGGCAGGTACCACCAGGAACGAGTCTCCAAAACTAGACGATACAGGGATTTATAAATGATTAGCAATATGTTCCCTGTATCGTCCCTGATAGTATATTATGATATGCCCAGCACATCCCAAAATTCTAAGTATTATAGCTGGTTTCTCAGGCTTTCGCAGTCTGCGCTGTACGGTGTGATTAGGAGGTGGAGGGCTCCAGGATGTGTCGAGGATGATTTGGCCGTAGATGCCAACTTTACCACCCTCCCCGACATCCGGGGCTTCAAGAACCCTACAAAACTGACGACCTACCTATAGTCTCCATTGTAGTTCCTGCTTTTGGTTTAAGCAAGTTTATGTTAAGGATCCCCTTTCTTCCGAAGCCTTAGACCCCTTGAAAGATCCCTGTGAGGTCCGATGCCATTTGCAGCATGCTGGGTGGCCCATAGCAAATGACCCGGTCTACGGAGGTGTTCCGCAGCTGGGGCAGGACTGGGCTCTTGGGAGTTGAGGCTTTACGGTACACGGGCTTTGGGGTTGAACAGCACGGTTGGATACGTTTCGTGGGTCCCGGGGATTGAAGCCATTCGGCCAGTGTTTGTTTAATTATAGTTCTTGGATAAGCTAATTAGCAAGGAACCTAGACTAAATCCTTAACCCCGTTACACGACGCCAGCCCAAGCCCTACAGCCGACGAAGTTTAGGGCTACGGCTGGGATGGGGAGCTTTCTGACCAAGCCAGAGGAGATCTTCAACGGAACTCGGGCGAGGCAGATGATTGAGGAGCACCAGATAGAGGGCTGCACATCTTGTGAGTATTTTCGGCGGCTTGGCATGAGATGACCAGGAAGGGGAATCGGAGATTCAGGCAAGTTCTAGGGCCTAGGGCCTCCCGAGTTCATCTAGGTGGCATGGGGAGTGGATTTCTTGAGCTCAGGGTGAAGGAGTTGCGGATTCCAGGGTTCGAGGCCTTAGGTTGTGTACGAGTGCACATCACAACAGACTAACGAGTAGCGAACCTGCAGAGGCTCCTGCAAAGCCCGTATAGGATGATATAGGACCCTAGAAGATTCATAACAAGACCTTGTAGACCCTAAAGCCTGTAGCCATGATAAGATTCATAATAAGACCTCGTAGACCCTAAACCCTGCAACCCTGAAGCCCTATGAACTTTGATGGAAAATCCAGGAAGGTCGTAACTGGAGTGGAGCCCTGTCCACGGCTGGATCCGACTATTTGGCTTCACAGCTGGTGGCTGGGGCAGATAATTGAACCTAGGGTTGCCTTATACTCAAGATCATAGTAGTTGTGGTCGCTGTGTGGGATCACTTTTTTGTGAAACTCCCGCTTGCATTCGGAACTCAGCAGAAGTCCGTGCATGGAGCGCTTTCAGAGGATCTTCCTATCCGGAGGGTGGATTAGGGTCCCCTGAAACTCTAAAGTACATTAATCCCTCAGCCCTAACCCCAAGTTAGGGCCCGTCAGTGCACCAGGATTGCGGGGTCCTTACAAGAGCGCCGCGTTTGGTTGAGAGTTTTCAAAGCCCTCCACAGCCGTCCTGCTAAATCCCTTTAGAGTAACCAGGGACCAGGGGCTGAGGAGCTACGGTAGTTCAGCCCTGCAAGTCCCACTTGAATGTTGAACCCCAATGCAACCCACTACTAAGGCGGTACAACTTCCCTACCTTGGGGCTATCTTTCGAAGCACCGCCACCTGAGTGGGCCGGCATGTGAGGATCTGTTTTGAATTCGGGGGCCCTTCAACGGGGTGCTGTTCATCAGCGTTAGAGGTTCGAGCGAGCTTGTCGGCTTCTTATCAAGAGCATGAAAAAGTGCTTGAGACATTCTGGTGGCTAGGGTTTTGCCTGAAGTTGTCTAGGCAAGGTTCTGAAGATTTGGAGACGGGTTCGGGGGTGTCAAAAACTTTGAGCTTCTTATGAGGGCTTACAGAAGGACACAAAAGAGGGAATGTACTCGTGATAGCTGAATATATCTTGGTTCTACGTTAGGTCTTGCAGCGACCCCTGTGCTTGCAGCGGAACAGATCGATCTTGCAAAGTTGTTGGCATGGCCCAAGCTCAAGCCGTTTTTGAAACGTAGAGCCTGCCCGTACTCAACCATCAACATAACTTTCGTTGTGTCTCACCTTATTTTTGATGACAGGATCCTAAACATGAATCTGGTTAATCAAAAAAGGAACTACACTTGCGAGTAAAAGCACGCACCAATCCTCAGATTCGCAGCCACCCAGTCACTATCCGCCACCACGCACAGCAAGCTAAGCCCTGAATAGACCAAGTATCAAGCCGTAAACCTTAATCCCTATAAGCCCTTAAACAAGTATCAACCCGACACCCTTAGAAAGAGATAAACAAGAACAACGAAAGTGTTATGATTTCTCAAACTAAAGCAGAGGTATTCACAACAATCATACGCCGACGTGCACTTGAAACCGCCTTTGCAAGCAGGCCGCCATTGCCAGCCAAGCCCTCGATCGTTTCGCCGACCTTCTCGCGGCCCTGATGCCCAGACGTTCCGGGGGGTTATTGCTTTGGGATCCACGGCGTTACTAGTATTGCTGTAATGGGTGCATACCAGTATGTATATCAGATGATTTTACTTGTGTTTGTTGTTGATGTTTGTGTTTGCTGCTTTTGTTGATGCTGCCACTACCAGTACGTTTCTTCTCGTTATTAAAACATCAGAATCCAGCTGTATACTGCTTTTGGTGAGCTGTATACTTTGGGTCGATCTCCCTTACAACACCGGTGCCTCAGCAAGGAAGTACTACGGCCGAATATTCGCTTATCAGCTCACACCTGAATGAGATGAGGTCCGTAAACTCTCGCGACGAAAACCTACAGCAATAAACCAACCAGAGTCACATTCCCTCGTTGCCCGGTGCCGGCGGCAGGGGGTTACGTGGCGGCAGGGGAAAAATGCGACAAAACTCAACCCAACACCAGAAGGCTGTGCATCTGAAGCCCTGACCCCAGGGCACAGGCTCCGAAGCTATAAACCTCAAACCCAAAAACTCCTGGACCCCCAAACCCAACCCAACCCTTAAATCCTAAACCCTGAAACCCTAATTAAAGCCCTGAACCCCAAACCCTAAACCCTTAAATCCTAAACTCTGAACCCTGAAACCCTAATTAAACCCCCAAACCCCAAACCCCAAACCCTAAACCCTTAAATCCTAAACCCTAAACCCTAATTAAAGCCCTGAACCCCAAACCCTAAACCCTAAACCCCAAACATAACCCTGGCTGACTGTTCCAGGCGATCTCGGAGCTGTTCTCCGTCCCGTGCCCTCGACTTAGAGACTGGGCCTTCAGGAGTTGAAGCCGTGGAAACTCGGTTTAGGGTTTAGGGTTTAGGGTTTTGGGTTTTGGGGTTTGGGGTTTGGGGTTTAGGGTTTTGGGGTTTGGCGTTTTGGGTTTTGGGGTTTGGGGTTTGGGGTTTTTGGGTTTGGGGTTTGGGGTTTTGGGTTTTGGGCTTAGGGTTTAGGGCTCAGGGCTTAGGGTTTAGGGAACGCTTTGTTTACCCAGAGGGTCCATATACACTACCATTATGGAATTAGGTCCTCAGAGACCATCGACTTGTCCCAACCTTCTTCAGCTGAGGCCACGAGAGGGTTCACATCTTCGAGGAGGACCCGACTCCCTTCCTGTGCTGCGAAGTTCGTGCTGGGGCTGCCAGGGTTCCGGTGAAGGTATGTTTAGGAGAGCCCCGTTGAGGTGACTAGCGTACGGTCGAGCCGCGGGCCGGGTCGACTGTGACGGAGACGCAACATCGCAGGGGCTGCAAGAATGAGTAATGGCCAATGATGAGTAACAGTATATCCTCGTAGTCCCAGAATAATATACCTCTACACCTATTCCCTCAACCCGAGTCCTCCCGGTCCGGAATGCGGGCTCGAAGGACACGCAAACGGTAGCTTTCAACGGCGGAGCGCTCTTCTTCAACCTGCGATACTTCATCGAGGAGGGCAGGGGTTAGAGCTTACACGGCTTTCAGGGTTTCGGTCTGGGTAAGGTTTGTGATTTTGGAGCATTGGGTCTAGGAGTTAGTCTGGAGCGAGGTTCAGGATTGAGTAAGGCTCCCGGGTGTAGTTGCTAGACGATTTTCAGGGTGGGGGTTGTTGCAACTAGCATTTTGAAGCTGCTCGTCTTCTGGGCGGGTGCTCCGGAAGTCTTCAACAACCCGGAAGTTCGGGCTAGCATGGAAGTCTTCTGGCTTACTTTAGAAGACACCTCCATTGCAGCCCCTGTTCTAGAAGGCTTTCGGGTTCAGTTATGGCTTGGCAGCCTATGTGCTGCAAGGCTGTAGTTCTTCTTCGGCTCCTGCAGCTGAAGATAGCGACTCTATGATCCGTATGCCTCGGAGCCTTCACCACTAAACCCCGAAGCAATCCGAGCCCCCATAAGCCCTCGTCCCCAAACCAAGCAGTAGCCATTTTGGCTCAAGTTCGGCTTTCATAGTCGCAGCCCAGCAGCCCGCCACAGTTCTAAATCAATCTTGGCATCTTGGTTGGCTCACTCAAAACTTACTTGCAGCTGCAAGCCAGACCTTCAGCCCCCTGCCCGAGTTTGGCATTTCCCCGGATGGACACTTGTTGAGGATGTCCGTCACTGTGGAAGTCGCACTGCTCAGCGGAAGGAAAGTTAGTTGCATATCAGCAGACTTCAAATTCAATCTACTGCAACCGCTTTCGCTCCCATTCTCGGGGATGGATCCGTGGCGACTTGGGGTCGTGCCGACGATGGAGGTGACAGTAGTGCTGTGCAGCATCAGCTGAAGAATGTGCAGCAGATCCAACCCTCTTTCATTGCTTTCGCTGCCATTCTGGGCGATGGGTCAGTCGTGACATGGGGTGATGCTGGATATGGCGGTGACAGTAGTGCTGTGCAGGACCAGCTGAAGGACGTAAAGCAGATCCAGGCCACTTGCGCTGCTTTTGCTTCCATTCTGGGTGATGGATCGGTCGTGACATGGGGGAATGCTGAATGTGGTGGTGACAATAGTGCTGCACGGGAGCTGTTGAAACATGTGCAATACATTCAAGTCTCTGAGTTTTCTTTTGCTCCCATTCTTGGTGATGGTTCGGTCGTGACCTGGGTCCAGAGTATCTTGGGGGCGCCATTATTGTTGAGCAGCATCAGCTGAAGATTGTGCAGCGGATCCAAGCCACTAGAGAAGGTGCTTTTGCTGCCATTCTCGGCGATGGGTCGTCTTGAGTGGGGTGATGATTTTTACGGTGGTGACAGGACCAGCTGAAGAAAGTAAAGCAGATCCAGGCAACTGGAACCGCTTTCGCTGCTCCCTTGGAGGTGGCTGCCCAGTTCCGGCACTGCGACCTGCCGGTGGACGCGGATCTTGGACCAAGACCCGCATCAGCCTGCAAGTTGCATTGCCAGAACTGGGCAGCCACGGAGGTGAGAGTAATGCTGTGCAGCATCAGCTGAAGAATGTGCAGCAGATCCAGGCCACTCAACATGCTTTTGCTGCCATTCTTGGCGATGGATCTATTGTCACCTGGGGTCGTGCTGACAGTGGAGGTGGCAGTAGTCTTGTGCAGCATCGGCTGATGAATGTGAAGCAGATGCACGCCACTTGCGCTGCTTTTGCTGCCATTCTGGATGATGGATCGGTCGTGACATGGGGTGATGGTGGCTACGGCTATACTGGCTATGGCGGTGACAGTAGTGTTGTGCAGGTCCAGCTGAAGAACGCAAAGCAGATCCAGACCACTTCCGATGCTTTCGCTGCCATTCTGGGCGATGGTTCGGTCGTGACATGGGGGAATGGTGGATACGGCGGTGACAGTAGTGCTGTGCAGGACCAGGTGGCCAGCTGAAGAACGTGATTCAGATCCTAGCCTCCGACTTCGCTCTTGCTGATGGCTCCGGAGTGCTGGAAAACAAGCCTGCTTTGTCCGAGTGTCAAAGCCGAAACCAAGCAGACCTATCTCAAGGGGATCAGAAGGGCCTTGGGAGGGCCAGGGAGTCTTTCTGTGGTCCTGGTACCCTTGTATGATGATCAAAATGACGTAGAGACCCTGATCCCTCAACCTATGAATTATGAGTAACAGCATCTTACGGATGGTGCTCGTGAAATGCCGTCACGATGTAGTCAGATGCTCCCAAGCAGAAGTTCTGAAGTGGTGGCATGGTTTGATCACACGGCTTACGTCCGGATACACACTTGGGTGGTTGTCAAAATTAGGGTCCCTTTTGGGGTACCCTAAATAATAGGTGCCGTTTTCTAGTAAGGACCCAAAAGGGGACCATTATTTTGACAACCACCCACTTGGAGCTGAGGGTTTTTGGGGCTCCGGAGGTCCACGTTGATTTGTTACTGTAGGCCCGAGGGCTTGGGCCTTGAGATGCACGCTTCCGCTGCTACCAGGCTCAAAGAGGATCCGTCGTAGCTTGCAGTTCCTCCGATACAGCACGCCATGCGCTGCGTTCTGCTTGTGCGGGGCTCAGCCTCGTGCTAGAGTCATGTAAATCGACAGTCGGTTTCAAGATAAGACTGCGCACCGCACACCCGAAGAGAGGTTGACGAATGAAATAACCATGTCCCTTGAGAACCTGCACTTCTGAGAGCCGATCACGCAAAAGAGGCGGCATTCCTTGCAGCTGCAAGGGCGGAGCATCGGAGCGAGTTGCTGTCGCGGGAGGAGGCCCACATGTTATCGAAAGGAAAATGAGGACCGACATGCTACATTTTCCACAAAGCAGTCGAGTTATTCCCATAGGCAAGTCTTCTGCCTTGGGGTCTTGCAGGTACTGTAATGCAGGGTTCTGTCCAGTAACAGCAACTAGATTGTGCGATTTAGGAAGTCCAGTTGTCCCCGACCTGTGCTTTAGATTTGTGACCTCAGTGTGGGCGAACATCTGAATACCCTAGAACCATGCAACCTCGCTTGTTGAGAGTTTGCTTCAGCCACGGCCTGAATCCTGCAAACGCGTTGCGGCAACCTTCGTTGGGTGGTCGCAGAGTTTGATCCGAATCCGTTCCCTTCGCATGTCTACTCCATATTCTTGGAGGTTTGCGATAGGCATCCGGGACGGAGCGCCTCAAGACGTTCAAGGACGAATCACTCAAAGCTCTTGGTACTACAACAACAACAACAACAGCAACAACAACATACAACAACTAATATAGGGGTCTGAATAATTGCCTATACTCTTTTGGAAGTTCCTTATTATAGTTACAGTATCTCGAGTATAATGATATACACCCAAGCCCTATTCAATCATTAAGGCCCCTATATTACTGCAGCTCCACCCTCTATTCGTGAAGCAGACGTCCGAAGCTTCATGCCACCAAGATCCTCAACTGCCTCTTGCTGTAATCCTCTCCAGCAGGGTTTCTGGCTTAGGGTTTAAGGTTGAGGGTTGAGGGTTTGGGGTTGAAG